TAGATGATCTATTTGTGATAGTGGGGTATTTTAGATCCTCCACTACAATTGTATTAGTGCTTAGGTGTGTTTCTTGTATACAACATATTGTTGGATTTTGTTTCTTATTCCATTTTGCCAGTCTATTTCTCTTGATTGGTGAATTGAGGTCATTAACATTGATAGTTATAACTGATATATACTGACTTATTGTTATGTTATTGTCCTTTTATTGACTCTTTTTAATTTTTGCCCTCTCCTTTTAGTTTCTTGCCTTGACTATTTGATTTACTCTGTTGGGCCTCATGGTGTTGTGATCTTCATTGTCCTTTTCTAGGATATTGTTTAGAATTCCTTGTAGTGCTGGTTTGGTATTCATGTAGTTTCTCAGGAGTTCTTTGTCGTGGAAGTATCTTATTTCCCCATCTATTTTGAAAGAGAGTTTTGCAGGATACATCAGTCTAGGTTGGAGGTTATTTTCTTTTACGACTTGGAATACCTCACTCCAGGCTCTCCTTGACCTAAGGGTTTGTGTTGAAAAGTATGCCGTGATTCTAATGGGCTTTCCTTTGCATGTGATTTATTTCTTTTCTCTTACTGCTTGTAGTATTTTGTTCTTCTGTTGGATTTCTGGGATCTTGATTATTATATGTCTAGGTGTAGATTTATTTATTTTTTTTATTGTGGCTAGTTGCAGTCCTATATGCCTCACTCATCTGTATGTCAAATTCTTCCCCTTTGTTTTGGGAGTTTTTCTGTCATTAATTCTGTGAACAGCTTTTTTAAATCATTTGCATTTTTTCCTGCTACTTCATGGATTCCTGTCAGTCTTATGTAATTCTTCTTTGCATCATCCAGGAATATTATATGTCTAGGTGTAGGTTTATTTATTTTTTTTATTGTGGCTAGTTGCAGTCCTATACGCCTCACTCATCTGTATGTCAAATTCTTCCCCTTTGTTTTGGGAGTTTTTCTGTCATTAATTCTGTGAACAGCTTTTTAAAATCATTTGCATTTTTTCCTGCTACTTCATGGATTCCTGTTAATCTTATGTTATTCTTCTTTGCATCATCCAGGAGTTGTTGGATCGATTTCTCATGATCCCTTACTGTTTTTAAGAGACCTCTCTTTTCCCAGTCACTGTCTGTGATCCTATCTTCTATATCTGAGATTCTATCTTCCCCATCTTTTTTTCTTTGTTGGATCGATTTCTCATGATCCCTTACTGTTTTTAAGAGACCTCTCTTTTCCCAGTCACTGTGATCCTATCTTCTATATCTGAGATTCTATCTTCCCCATCTTTTATTCTGTTGCAAACACTTTCAATAGAGTTTTTAATCTCCTGGATATCTGTTTGAATTTGTTAAATGGATTCCATTTCTTTCCTCTGTTGGACATTCATTGTTTCCATTTCTTTCTTATCTGGGCCTTCATGGTTTCTATTATGTTCCTGAGCTCATCTATTTTTTTGTCAGTTTCTGTTTGAAGTCTCGAATCATGTCTTTAATTTTGCTCACCATCTCTATGGTTATCTGAGAAATTATTTCTGTTTTGAATTTTTCTAGAGCTTGATTCATGGGTTTTTTTACTTTCTGTGTGGTGAGTTCTGAGTGTCCTGGAGGTTCACTATCAGACTTTTCATCCTCCTTTGCCCTACTGCTTGCCATTGGTGAACTGGAAGTCTGTCTTTGTGGCTTGCTTAAGTGTTTTCTCTTCTTTATTTTTGCTCTTGGGTTGCCCTTGATTCAATCTCTTAGTCATTAAATCTTTCTGATATTGTTGTGTCCCAGCCTTTGATTCTCTAATGACTTATAGACATTCTCATTTTCATAATTAAGAAAACTCATCAAACCAATCCCTATCATTTATCCCTATTGATACAATCAGGAACACAATAGGATCGATCACCACCTTTTATACCCAGCCATGCTTCTGTAGAGTGCATCCAAGGACTGGCACAATCAGGGGATCTGAGAGCCGGGGGATGTGGGGAGCCGGTGCTCAGTGGCATCCGCAGGGCTACCCTCTTGGCTCTGTGTCTCGAGCAATCAATGGCACCCACAGGGAAAGGAGCTGCTAGGTAGGCCCATAGATGGGGCCTGGATGGTGGAGGGAGAGCTGAAGTCCAAGCCAACCGCTTTCCTATCAGTGATTTTCAAGAGGAGGTGAAGTGATATTGAATAGAAAGGGGTCTGAAGGACCCTCTGGAAGGGAAGCAGTGTCTACATCCTATTAGAATTTGTGTCTAAATGGGTGTGCATAGATATTAAAGTCATTGACCTGTGTACCTAAAATGAGTGTATTTTATTATTTTCAATCTTACCTTAAAATTTAGTTTTATAAAAAGATGACTAGGGCCAGGGATTTAGCTCACTAGTGTACTGCCACCTGCCTCCTCACAAGCGCAAGGACCTGAGTCTGATCCCCATTACTCCCCACCAAAAAATCACTAACCATACTCTAGTGACAAAATTCAATAGGCTTGTATGTATCCTCCTCATCTTCCTCTTCTTACTCTGTACTGCAATACATTATAGAGAACCCTTCCTTGAAGTATGCTCTTTGTTTAATAACTTTCTCTAACTTCCTTGCATGCTTCTCTTCATATTCCTTATAAATATGACAACTAAAGAAATTAATACAAGGGGCTGGGGATTTAACTCTATGGTGCCACTGCTTGACTCACAAGAGTGAGGTCTTGATTTTGATCCCTGGCATAGGAAAAATAAAACAGAAAAAAGAAATTGACAACCAAGACAAAGAAATTATTTCCTATCCCCATCATAGCATTGATGATAGGGAAGGGGAATCTGAACTTGCAGGATCTTGTGCGGGATGAGAGAAAAAAATGACAGTTAAAACTAGACTGTAGGAGGCTAATATTTCCATTTCTTAGCCAGGTAAATTTTGTGTGCTCCTGTGTGTGTGTGTTAATAGAATGCACCCATTGAGAAGTTGATGAGGAAGTAAAGACATTCACATCAGTAAGCCAAGATACCAAATCAAGAAAGGCTACAGACAAAAAGAAACATTTGTTATGATCAGATCTAGTGGTAGAAAAAAAAAAACCAAAGGGAGGTATCTAGGGGGAGTGTCAAGGTGAGAGGATCTAACACTTTACAGGTGGCAATAACTGTGCCTGATTCACAGAGAAGACTAAAAATACTTGACATATTAAAGTGATAGACAACCAAGATGTTGCAACACACAGCTTTTGCTTATCCCAATTCTTGCCCCCAATCTATTTGGTTTAAACATTTGGATGTTGCCGAGGTCAGCAAGTCAGAGGTAGTCCTGAAAGGTTCAGCTCATTTACAAATACAATATCTATAATATTGAACTCATGTTCATCTCACTCAGTCTTCTTTCCTTTCTTACAACTCTTTTGGTGTTAAGAAAATTTGCAACAGCTAAATCATCTTTGAATCCTCCATTTTTCATTCAAGCCCCTCAATCTATCTATAAGGACTAGTCTATTCCTAAAGGAACTTAGACACCAAATCTTAATTCCTTTGCAATAGTTCTGTAATCTCTGTAATATCCTTGTAATATTTTTCCAATCCCTTTCATATTCATTGATCCCCCTTAGATCAGGTGCTTGTTACCTACTATAAGTCTGAACTACAATAATAAAACTATCAGATTCTGTATTTTCTCTTATAGCCAATAATTTTGCAAGTCATGCTTAGACTCTGAAACCAAAGCATTTGGTCACATAAAATTACTGTCAAATGTATTTAGGAACAGAGACATAGAAATAAAGAAATAAAGTTCACCTACTTGAGCTCAAAATACACAATGTTCCATGTCTGTACTTTAGCAATTTCTAGGTTTATACTGAAGAACTATCTGCATGTGTGTGAATTCTCCCTGTTATCATCAAAATCAACTATCATTCTCATATATTGAGTTACTGCTTTCCCATTATTACTTGACACATGCATTCTGCTTGCATAAATCTACTCCTACTTTCTTTTCATACACAAATGCATCCTTCATGATTCAGTTCAAATATATTCTTATCATTAATATTTATCTTAATGTCTTGGGGACTATTCAAATAGTGTTTCTTCAAAGCACTGAAAATATTTCTTATCCATGGTATTCATTTGGTATGTGCTGCCTTGTATATTCTGTTCCTACTTCATTTAACCACTGTTTTCTGTTGAATTGTATAGATTGTTGTGTATATTTATATTTTCTTTGGTGTGGTAGATAATACGTTTCCTGTAGGAGCCTTTTCCTAGATATCTCTATACTTTAGCACATGGATATGCCATGATTTGTTTCATATATCATTCACCTGCTATTTAAAAATCTGTCCAAAATTAATTGTCACCTATAACTATAGACAATAAACACAAAATCAAAATGGTAAAATTCTATTCAAGATGTCTATTGGACAGAAATAGGTGAAAAAAGTTATTATAATCACTTAATCAAACTTTACTCTGTTCAATTAAAATCCAAGCATTGAATTTCTCAAAATCATAATTTAATTTTTTATAAATAAAATAATTATCCACCAGAACGATCTGAGAGGAAATTAGTATAAATAGCCAGAAATGAAATATATATGTACTGATCTTTTTCCACCTCTGTCCACATACAGTATTGGAAACACTTTCAGAGATAACAGTTATATATTGTCACTAAACAATGTCTTCATTTGAGATGTAGTGGCCCTGAAACAGTCCTTTTTTTCTTCTAGGAAACATTTTTTTGGTGAACTGGAAAGGGTCTATGTATGGTGGCACCTGCCAGACATAACACAAGTGATTAAAAATGCTTAAAAATTAATTCATTTCTAACATTATATAAATCTTACAAGCTCAGACTGGATATTAATAATATATTATGGATATTTTACAATATTGTATTCTTAACAGTAGTTACCATTTCTTTGCTAATGGTAATATATAGATTATTGTAATAAAAATTCATTATTAATATATTAAACTAATAAGTAAATATAAGCATAGCTTTTATAGTGTCCTATGTGATTTCCATTCAGTCCTCACCTTCAGTATTTGTCATTTTATTTTCATGAAAAATTTCACCAGCTTCTTTAGGAGCACCAACCAGGACCAATTCTTGTGATGCGGCATTGTCTTTAAAAAAAAAACACACACACACACAGAAATGCAAATACTTCAGAGCATAGTTATATATAGTTTTAAGTTTGGCAACAAAATGGACAAAACAACTTTATTGGGAAACTTCTGTCTTTTTTTAAAAAAAACAACCATCATACAAATATTGGCCAAACCCATCATAGAACATCTTCATATTTTTTTCAGCTAAAGAAGTTAGTTTAACTCTTACACAAAAAGATATTCTCAATAGTATGAAGCTATTAAAACCAAACAGATAAATAAATGATTATGAGCTGATATAGAAGGTATCCCAAACTAAAATGTTAAGCAGAAATGGCAAAACAGAGATTTATATGCCAGTTTTGTCATCACTTTTTGTCTTCTACACAGAGAATATATGTAATGGCTGAGAAATAGATGTGTGGGTGTGTGTAGAATTTGGAGATCGAGAAACTGTTAGGACAGATCACCTTTAGAAAGACAGAGTTCAGAGAAAGAGAATTTTATATTTTATTTCGTAGTCTTTGAAGTATTTCAAATTTCTCAAATCTATTTTTGACAGCTTGAAATGAAATATATCTACTTTACCATGCAGCAACATTACTCCTGAGTTTTGATCCAAAAGAAATGGAAGTATAGATCCACATAGAATAGCATCACAAAATGGTAGTTAGTCTTATTCAAAAGAGTAGAAACACAACTTACACAACTAAATGCAAAACACTAGAACAATTATTTGTAAAAAGTAGTTTAAAATCTTGCAATGATATAATGCTGATTAGTGAAAAAGAATGAGCAAATACATGGAATAACAATGGGGAATCTCAAAATACATTAAAGAAAAGAAGAAAGCATAGTGGATACTGTATAAGTCTATTATGAGCTTCAAGAAGAGATAAAAATCCATGAAATTATAAGTCTAAGATTGAGTGTTGGATGTATATAATTTATTAGGTAAAATGTATTATTTAAAGGCATTAAAATATTTTATATACATGAATATAAGGTTTAAATACTTGAAGAATATTTGGTGCTAATATTTCTTAATAATTTCACTAAGAATATTTAAATGCCAGAACACCTTAAAGAATAAAATAAAAGTAAATTAATGTCAAACATTTACCAAATATGCAAGAAATGATAAGAAAATATTGAAAATTATAAAATTAACAAAAGTACTAATGAAGTAATAATGTCTATATAAATAATCTAAACTCCCAAAATAATACAGAAAATAATTGTAAATAAAATATACATATTTTTATAAATAAAAAATGATGTATTAAAAACATAAAGAAATCTAGAACCTTACTACAATAATATATTTTATAACTAAATATACAATTGGTAATGAAGAAATATTTATGTGTGTAATAATATATCATATTAGAAAAGAATGTATTTCTTAGCACAAAGAGGAATTTTAAAACACTGGGAAAAAATTTTAGCTCAACATCATTTATGTAAGCCATATACAATTCAGACTAACTAAATGATACACAAAATATGAGGGAAATTAATATAAATGAAAATGGCACAAAAATACTATTTTTAAATTTTAAAGGTAATATAATTTCATGAAGAGTAAAACTATCCAAGGCAACAGCACAACTGGAAAATCAACAAGTAGAAACTAGCTGTATTATCTAACCAATTTCCTATACAACTGGAAATTAATCACACATAATTAAAAGTTACTTGAAAGTTTTTTTTCTTTTTCTTTTCTTTTTTTTCACCAGGGATTGAATTTAGGACTTTGTGCTTAAAAGGCAGGCAGCAGAACCAATGAGTCAAATCCCTAGCCCAAGGTACTTGAAATTTTTAAGGTACCCTTCCCAAATAACAAAACATGTGAAGGAACCATTTTGTACCATAAACATTATTAAACTTAAAAAAATATAAGAAAATATTTTGATTTATTCAAATATTGTCAGAAATAACATTCAGAATATAAATATTATTTTTAGCTAAGCTTTAATACTGATGAAAAATGAAAATCTAAATGGGTAGACAAAAACATTAAAGGTAAATATATGAGGAAATCCTCGTGAAAAGTATAAATAAATGCTCAATAAACCAGTCAGCCTGCAAGTGTGGGCTTGTTCTCAAATGCCAAGCATTGGAGAGGAAATGGTATTGGAAACAAATGCCCTACTTTCCCAGGTTTTGAAATTGTACATAGTATCTAAAATTTCAGGTTCTTTCTCTGATCCTTTCCTTTAATTTCGGCAGTAGTGATAATGAGTTTCTCCCATAATTTAGACTATTGTACTCTCTTTTGAGTTTTATTTTTATTCACTCCTTCAGATTAGGCTTACATTCCAAAATATGCCCAAGTGTTGATGGCCACAAGACAAGAAAATTGAAATTGAGATCATTACTAGATACAGTCAAAAAGCATGAAGATTTTCAGTAATTTACAAATCTAGCAATATCAAGTGGTAGCCAGAAAATGGAGCGATTAGAATTGATGTGGCTCTGTAAATTAATATGGTTACTTTGACAATAATCTGGGGTAATCTGATGAAGTCAAAATACAAAATACATATGTAACTGTAACTACGTAAGCGTTAGAGAAATTCACTCAGGATATACCAACCCAATTAACAGGAGCTCTAAATATATGTCCAGGCCCAACTTCCTTGTACTTATTATTAAGAATACACACATAAGGGTACTGTCTCTTACATAGTAAGCCACTAGCAGGTGCTCCTCAAAGCCACTGTGTCGGTAAATTAATATATCAAAGTAAGTTCCTGACCAATTACAGAACTGAAATTATAGTAAAACAGAAATGGAATATAGCACAATTATACCTTATTTCAATACTTTAATGACATCAAAAAGGGTAATTTTATTATCTTTGAATCAAGACAGACATTTGTGAGACAGGCTTGGGCAAGTATTTTAACTACATATGGCACAAAAAGAAATAATACGTGAATGCTTCAGTTTTCATTAATACAAGATAAAAATCACAACAGAAGCAAATTCATCATAAGAAGAGAGAAATGAGAAAAAAAATCAAAAATTGAGTGAATACATGAAAATTATGTATTCTCTGGTAATAAAAATGAAAACAGAATATTTTGGAATTAGGTCATGTTATAGTTCATATGTTAGCTATTTAAAAATGCTTAAATAAGATACAGTATGTTGGAATAACACTGACGGACACAGCGCTGATGCTTTGGTACATTTATGGAAAGCAGTACACCAATGCTCATATTCTGTGCTCCCGGAAATTTCAATTTTGAGTACTTATCTAGAAACAAAAGCAATAAAATAGAAGCTAAGCACAGATTTCGAAGGACATGATGAAGTAAGGAGAACTGAAGTTCCATCATTCTGCAAATACAAAGATGAAAAAAGAGGTAAAGTTGTCAAAATTAACACTCTTGGGACAGTGGACCTGTACCAAAATAACATATCAGCAACCCAGGGAGCGTTTATTTAAAAAGGACAGATAAATTTTGGAAGAATACAATTTTAACTTTCCTTAGTTCCATCCCTGACTCTCCAGGTGCACAGAGCCCTGACAAATAAAAGGCAACTTTTCTGACACCACATCAAGCAGAAGAGAGAATATTTTTAAAACCCCATTTCTAAAGAATTGTCATTTTTAGACATAGCTGGTCATTCTCTGGAAAATTCCACTTACAAAGTTATGTGCATGATCAAGAAAAACATAAGAAAGTCCGAAACTGTCATCTCTGGTTGACTGGGAGGCCATACGAGCAGGAAGAAAATCTTTTAAGGAGCAGAGCTATCAGCTCCTTGGGTGGTTGCTGAAGGTCTACACTGACAGGCACATAGACCAACACAGACTAGATTTATTTGTTCCAGTCATTTAAAGAAACATTTGTTCAATCATCAATTGATCACTAAACCAACTGAGTATGAACTTCACTTTCCCATATGACAAAAAAAAAAAAACAAAAAAAAACAAAGTCCAAAAAGTTACTGTTATGATTTATAGCTAGGTGTTCCCGTTTAAAGGTCAGGCGCTTATAGGTGGGGCTTTTGAAAGGTCTTTGGATTATGAGGGCATTACAAGTGGACTTGCCCTTTGGAGGTAGAGTTTGGTGAGAAGAGGCCTTTCACAGGGCTTTATACTCAAGAACGTGTTATCTCCCTTCCCTGCTCCTGCCCTTGTGTTCTGTTTACTGAATGTCATGAAGTAAGCAGCTTTCCTCCCCCTGACCCATTCCCTTATGCCATTCTGGCTTGGAACTGACTATGGACCAAAATCTCTACAAACAGCGGACCAAAATAAATGTCTCTTCCTTCGGGTTCTGAGTGTCAGGTATTATGTCCCAGCAACCAGGAAAGTGACTAAGACAGTTACTAAAAGACTAAACCATTCAATGAACAGCTACAAAAATCAGCAATGAAAACAAAATTTGGGGGAAGAGAATTCCATGTCCACAATTATCACATTACAGATATACCTTGTTTTGCTATACTTTGTTTTATTGTCCTTTTTAGACATTGTATTTTTGCACATTGAAAATTTGTGGCCACCCTGTGTCAAGCAAGTCCACTGGTACCATTTTTCCAACATTTGTTTACTTTATGTCTTTGTATCACATTTACGTCATTCTGTCACTGTTTCAAATTTTTTTTATTATTATCTGTCATGATGACCTGTGATCAGTGATCTCTTCTGTCACAGTCATATTTATCTGGGGGCACCACAAAGTGTTCCCATTTAGAACAGTAAACTTAATAAATGCTGTGTTCCGGCTGACCCTTCTCCCATCTCTCTTCACCTCCTATGGCCTCCATATTCCCCGAGACGCAATATTGAAATTAGGCCAATTATCAACCTTACAGTGGCCTCTAACCATACAAATGAAAGAGTAAGTCACAAGTGTCTCACTGCAAATCAAAAGCTAGAAATGATTAACTTTATGAGGAAAGCCAAAATAGTCAGAAAGCAGGCTTCTAGCACTGAATAGTCATCCTGTTGTGACTGTAAAGAGTAAGTTCTTGAAGCAAATTGAAGGTTTTAC